TCCCACAGTCCAAAAACATGCATGTTAGGCTGATTGGTAACTCTAAATTGCCCCTAGGTGTGAGTGAGAGAGTGAATGGTTGTTTGTCTCGTTTGTCTCTATGTGGCCCTGTGATGGACTTGCGACCCGTCCAGGGTGTACCCCGCCCCTCGCACAGTGATTGCTGGACATGGGCACCAGCGACCCCCGTGACCCAAAATGGAATAAACGGGTAAAGAAAATGGATGGATGGATGGATGTTCCCTTGCCCAGACGTGGGTCACCGGGGCCCCAATCTGGAGCCAGGCCTGGAGGTGGGGCATACTGGCGAGTGCCTGGTGGCCGGGCTTTTACCCATGGAGCTCAGCCAGGCACAGCCCGAAGAAGAGACGTGGGTCCCCCTTCCCATGGGCTCACCACCTGTGGGAGGGGCCAAAGGGGTCGGGTGCAATGTGGGATGGGTGGTGGCCAAGGGCGGGGACCCTGGTGGTCTGATCCTTGGCTACAGAAGCTGGCTATTGGAACGTGGAATGTCACCTCACTGGTGGGGAAGGAGCCTGAGCTGGTGTGTGAGGTTGAGAGGTTCCGGATAGAAATAGTCAGACTCACTTCTACGCATGGCTCTGGAACCAGTTTCCTTGAGAGGGGATGGACACTGTTCCACTCTGGAGTTGACCCTGGTGAGAGGCGCAGAGCAGGAGTGGGCATACTTATTGCCCCCCCATCTTGGTCCCTGTGTGTTGGGGTTCACCGCAGTGAATGAGAGGGTAGCCTCCCTCTGCCTACGTGTGGGGTGACTGGTTCTGACTGTTGTTTGTGCTTATGCACCAAACAGCAGCTCAGATTACTCACCCTTTTTGGAGTCCCTGGAGGGGGTACTGGAAACTGCACCTCCTGGGGACTCCCTTGTTCTACTGGGGAACTTCAATGCTCACGTGGGCAATGACAGTGAGACCTGGAGGGGTGTGGTTGGGAGGAACAGCCCCCCTGATCTGAACCCGAGTGGACTTCTGTGCTCGTCATGGATTGTCTACAATGAACACCATGTTCAAGCATAAGAGTGTCCATATGTGCTCCTGGCACCAAGACACCCTAGGCCGCAGTTTGATGATCAACTTTGTTGTCATCTCATCTGATCTGCAGCCACATGTCTTAGACACTCAGGTGAAGAGAGGGGCGGAGCTGTCCACTGATCACTACCTGGTAGTGAGTTGGCTCTGATGGTGGGGGAGGATGCCGGTCAGACCTGGCAGACCCAAACGTATTCTGAAGGTTTGCAGGGAACATCTGGCCGAGTCTCTTGTGAGACGGAGCTTTAACTCCCACCTCGGGGAGAACTTTGAACATGGTCCAAGGGAGGTAGGGGACAATGAGTCCGAGTGGGCCATGTTCCGTGCCTCTATTGTCGAGGCGGCTTATTGGAGCTGCGGCCGCAAGATTGTCAGTGCCTGTCGCAGCAGCAACCCTCGAACCCGGTGGTGGACACCGGCGGTGAGGGATGCTGTCAGGCTAAAGAAGGAGTCCTAACGGGCTTTTTTGGCCTGTTGGACCCCAGAAGCAGCTGATGGGTACCGGCAGTCCAAGTGACATGGGACTCGGGTGGTCGCCGAGGCAAAAACTCAGGCATCGGAGGAGTTCGGAGAGGCCAAGGAGAATGACTTCCACATAGCTTCGAGGCAATGCTGGTCCGGCATGGGGCGGCTTGGGGGGGGGGGGGGGACACCACCAACATTGTTTATAGTGGGAGTGGTGTGCTGCTGACCTCAACTTGGGATGTCGTGAGTCGATGGGCGGAATACTTTGAAGACCTCCTAAATCCCACCAGCACTTCTTCCACTGAGGAAGCGGCACCTGGGGACTCTGGTTCGGGCCCTCCAATCTCTGGTGCTGAGGTCACCGAGGTTGTTAAAAAGCTCTTCGGTGGCAGGGCCCCACGGGTGGATGAGATTCGCCCTGAGTTCCTTAACACTCTGGATGTTGTAGGGCTGTGTTGGCTTACACGACTCTGCAATATTGTGTGGACATCGGGGGAAGTTCCCCTGGATTGGCAGACCGGAGTGGTGGTCCCCCTATTCAAAAAGGAGGACTGTTGAGTGTGTTCAAACTACAGGGGGATAACACTCTTAAGTTCCGTGGTAAGTTCTATTCAGGGGTTCTGGAGAGGAGGGTCCGTCGGATAGTCGAACCTCGGATTCAGGAGGAGCAGTGCGGTTTTCGTTCTGGTCGTGGAACACTGGACCAGCTCTACACTCTCAGCAGAGTCCTGGAGGGTGCATGGGAGTTTGCCCAACTGGTCTACATGTGCTTTGTGGACTTGGAGAAGGCGTTCAACCACGTCCCTTGGGGAACCCTGTGGGGGGTAATCTGGGAGTATGGGGTACCAGGCCCTTTGATATGAGCTATTAGGTCCCTGTATGACCGGTGTCAGAGCCTGATCTGCATTGCCGGCAGTAAGTCGGGCTCATTCCCGGTGAAGATCGTGATCTACAGCTTTCGCTGGAGCAGTTCCCAGCCGAGTGCGACAGAGACGGGATGAAGATCAGTTCCTCCAAATCCGAGGCCATGGTCTTGAGCTGGAAAAGGGTAGAGTGCCCTCTCCGAGTCAGGGAGGAGGTCCTGCCCCAAGTGGAGGAGTTCAAGTATCTTTGGGTCTTGTTCACGAATGAGGGAAAAATGGAGTGTGAGATCGAGTCGGATAGGTGCAGCATCTGCAGTGAATTGTGTGCTGTACAGGTCTGTCGTGGTGAAGACAGAGCGGAGTCAAAAGGCAAAGCTCTCAATTTACCGATCGATCTACGTTCCTACCCTTATCTATGGTTAGGATGCCTCCTGGACGCCTCCCTGGTGAGGTGTTCCGGACACGTCCCACGAGGAGGAGACCCAGAGAAAGACCCAGGACATGCTGGAGGGTCTATGCTTCTCGGCTGGCCTGGGAACACCTCGGGATTTCCCCGGAGGAGCTGGCCCAAGTGGCTGGGGAGAGGGAAGTCTGGGCCTCCCCACTTAAGCTGCTACCCCCGCGACCCGACCCCGGATAAGCGGAAGAAAATGGATGGATTGATGGATATTTCGAAGAAAATTCTATGCCGATCTGTGGCTCATCCCTTAATCAGCCAGTTGTGTGTCATGTCAAATCTTATTTTGAAAAATCGCGATAACAAATCCATGATAAACGAACCGCAAAGTAGCGAGGGTCTACTGTTTATGTGAGGAGAGAGATGCTGTTACGCCGTATTTGTTTTCTACATTAGTGTTTAGCGTATATCTTAGCTCTTTTAATGTATTGTTTGGCATTTGTTTAGCGTATATCTTAGTGTATATCTTGATCCTTATTTACTGTTTCTTTTACACTTTATAGTTTACTATTTTTGGGTGTAACTGGGACCGTGTGTACATTATTGTGTTCCCTCATGTACCACATGGGGAGAAACAACAATAAATTTGACTTGAGCTTGAACGGTGAGGGGAGGAGAGACCAGGGAGGGAAGGAGAGAATGGGAGGGAGGTTACCCCCCTCTTCCACTCTGTCTATGTGTTTTGAACAGTAAAATAAAGTCACGAAGACCCACCCCTCAACAGACATGTATTGGGCAGCTATGCACGCGCCTGGACGTGACAAAGCTAAATTTGTTTGGCAGCATGAAGCTCGTTCACCCATCAAAAAATTAAAACAATCCATAAATGATATATTAAATTATATATTATAATTATTAAATTATATATTTTATCAGGTCTCGTAAATGAGTCATCGAGGGTCAATGGGATTAACCTGTCTAAATAAAGGCTGAATGAAAAAATTAGCTGCAGCATTGTATAATAGTGGTTGCAAAACCTTTTTTTAAAGTGGACTTCAACATGATAAAAGTCGAGTCAACGTTGACTCGTCGCTGTGACATCATAGGAACTCAAGACGCTATATCATATTCACAAAAAAAAAGTCTTTTATTATGTACAATTTTTAAAAAGAACAACAAAGCATCGGGGGCATATATTTATGCTCCTACCATTTATCATACTGTAAATGAGTCACAGGCAAACCAAAACTATTATTAAGCTGCAAAAGTGAAACAAACGTGAGGCACGTTAAAAAAAAAACCCCTAAAAACAGGAGGCAGGCGGTAGTGGAATCCACCACCGTGGATTAAATAAAAGAAAATTAAAAACAGGGTTGCGGGCGGTGGTGGATTCGCTGATGCGGTGGCTGGGTCCGGTCCAGTTAAGCTTCAGGTGGGTCGCTGGCAGTAAGCCATCTGGACTTTTTTTTACTTCTTTCTACCAGCCGGTCAAACGGCCACACGCCGAGCATCCGCTTATGCAATCAAAAGCCCGACATGACCTGGCCCGCCCATCGAGCACATTATCTTGGCCCGGCCCGAAGTTTCGGGTCGAGTCCTGCAAGGGCCCGGGTTTGAAATAACAGCTCTAGCCAGCGACCAGCGATACAATCGCATGACTTTGACTAGTCAACGTGAAATTTAAAAACTCGTGATATGTCCTAGAATCGACTGGTTGACTAGTCGATTTAACCCCTATTGTATAAGCCACAGGGTTCAAATCCTGTGAAAAAAGTAGCGGCTTATAAACGGGAAAATATGGTACAAATGCTGATTTGGCCCACAAAGAATAATCCATTTTTCTTGTTTTAATTAATTTTTACAAAATCTAAAATAAACTGTAATAAAAATGAATGGAAACCATATTTTGTAAGGCTTTGGTGAATAGTTTGAACAGAAGATTCTGCCCTACAAGTTCTTGAAATTCTGGCCTCTTGCCTGGGTGAAAAACTACAGGCCGTAGTAGATATGTCTTGTACTTGAGGTGCTCATTTAAAGAAAAAGTATAAACTGCTTGAACATCATCACCCAATACAAAGCCCAGCTTAAAAAGACAGTAGATTCTTTCTGGTGATGTCTTTCAGTAAAAGCAAATGGAACCAGTCCTTTTATCAGTCCTCTTCAGGACCCATGTAAGAAAACTCAAGATTTTGCTGAAAAAGCTCCTCCTGCAGTCTTGCCAAAGCTACCAGTGGGTCCTCTTTAAAAGGTGCTTCATTCTCAGAAGATGTCTTTGAGATGTAGCCTTGATCAGATCCACTGCTTGGATGTTTTTCACTCAGCTGCTCCTCCACCTCCATCTCCACAGGCTGGGAGAGGCTGATTTCAGGTGATGGAAAATAATGACTCTGGATAAGAGCCCAAGAGCATGAAGGTTCTGGAGGTCCTGAGTCCTGAGAGTTCATGAGGACTGAGTGAGCAGAAAGTTCTTTATTTATAGACAGTAAAGAATCCTCATCATCCTGAGTGGGCATTTCAGCCAAGGGTTCATCTCTAAGGGACAGCCAGTTCTGCTGGACCAGTGCTTGGTGGTTCAAAACAGGCTCAGCTGTGTAGATGGACTGTGGAATGGAGTCAATATCAGTCAAAACCTCAACCTGGCTCGATGAGTATTGATACTTCCACTCAGGATTCAGAAGCGGTAGAAGTTCTGCCACTGATGACATCTGGTTCTCTGGTTTCAGCTCAGGTGTAAGAACGTGAACACTATTGCAGTTTTCATTAAGATCCACATCATGAGTGTATACAGGAAGACTCTCTCTGACTGGGACAACACATTCAAAGACAGGAGGGGTCTGCAGAGGTAAGATGAGCTGATGAGCTTTGGTGATAGCCTCCTCCTCACTGAGCACACACTCCTTCTCAAACCAGTTAGGGTTTTCTAACTGGTAGGCCTGAAAGGTTGTGATGGCATCCTGCAGGGCTCTGCCTGAGGGGCAGTTGAAGTACTCATCCCGACCAATTCCCTCGATGTGGTTCACCTGACCTGGCTGATACTTCTCAATGTCTAAGATACGAAAGTACAGTTCCTCAAAGTGCTTCATCAAAATGTATTTGACTCCAATGTCAAAAACAGAAGGAACATCTTGTTCACCGCTGATGTCCTCAAAGTAGGCTACCATGTATTTACCCAGCATCCCTGCCTGGTGCATGTCTGGCAGGAAAAGATTCAGAAATGGAATGAGCATGTCATCTGTGGGAGACAAAAAGTCTTCCTTGAGCATCACTCGCCCCTGACCACACATGGCCCTCCACTTTGCCTGAACGCCACGGGAGCACAACACCAGGATTTTGTCACAGGGGTTTGTCAGCTGTTGTCGTTGCCACTCGAGCCAGCGGAGACGTCCCACCATACTAATTGAGGTGGTGTCCAGCAGGTCTACCAGCACCCTGGTGCCACATTTGGCCTGGAGAAAAGCACACAACTTAAGCACTACGTCCCTGTAGAGATAGTGGTCCTGGGAATAGATGACCAGAACTTTTGGAGGGGATTTTGGTGGCTGTGGTGGGTTCTCAGGTGAAGGATTAATAAAGGGTTTACCTGAAAGTGGAAGAGTAAATCTACATTATCAGAGCAATTCTTCAAGGTAAAAATTAGAAATCCTAATTGTTGTTTCTAAAAGTGAAGATTTTTGTTGTTAAACTTTAAAGAGCTTGAACAGAGAAAATTCTTACCTTTCTTTTGGCAGAGAAAATATAAAACAACGGCCAATAATACACACACGGAGACGATTCCTATGGCAACAAATATGTATGGTGAAAAATCCTGAGGAGTCGATTCTGCAGGAAAGAGAAAAAAAGAAGTTTAATGATCAGGAGCCCTGCCTTCTCAGAGCAAACACTTAAGTCTAGTTAATTTCCAAAGACATTTGTTTTGGTTGTTCCGGGAAAAAAAAGTTTATTTTTGCAGCAGGGAATCTCTTTAGACAAAGACCTCTGTCAGATCAGAAGTTATGGGAGGAACTAGAGAAGTTTACAGATGTACAGAGACTTTAACCATAACACATCTGTCTGGGCATGTAAAAATATTAATACCATACTTTCCAGTCCATAAGCTGCTACTTTTTTCATAGGATTTGAACCCCATGGCTTATAAAATGCTGCAGCTAATTTAGGGATTTTTTTTTTGACAGGCTTACAAGCTTCCTGCCACCAAAAACATTTAGCTTTGTCGCACCCAGGTGCTCACATAGCTGCCCAATGCACGTTTCTCTTGGAGGATTGGCCCTTGTGACTCACTGAGACTACCTGTATAAATAAAGGTTAAAAAAAATATGACCAATAAAATTATCGAACAGGCCACAGTTGAACCAATGAAATGAGGAGGGGGGAAATTCCCCCTCCCCGTGAGGAGGGATTCCCCTGCATGAACAGGGCATGTGAGCGTCACATGCTCACAGGACACTTATTGCTCTGCAGAACAGGAGGACAGCTTGAAGATGGCGATCAATGATTCCCTGGTAAAATACTTTATTTATTTATTTTTTAACCAGCTGTGTTACCAGCATTGTTCAGAAAAAACATTGAGTGTTTGTGTTACCGGTACACATTTAATTAAAAGTTTTAAAAAATCTTTCTGTGTAACATCTTTCTATGTAAATATCTCATGTTACAACATGGACACGTGTTTTATACACAGGCTTATATGTGTACAAAATTGTGTTTTTGTTTTTAGTTTAGTGTGCACGGCTTCTATTTGGTACACTCTTTAGACCGGCAATTACGGTAACGCAAACAAAAATGATTGACTGATTTTTCCTCATGAACTTTTGAGGGTCAAATGACCTTTGAAGTGTTAATTCAACTGTGATGAGGCTAATAATCCTTGTTCCTAAATGAGGCGGAGCATTCAGATGCATTCCTATTTCAATATAAAACATTATGTTTCAAACCTTCATGAGAACAAATGGTTGTAGCCTTCCTTCGATGGGTACAGTCGTTGCCACATTTTGGGAAAAAAGGTTTGATCTGTGAAGCAGAAAAGTCATCAGTGAACACTTGGACGTGATCATAACAAACCAATGCTAGTGTGACTCAGGAAAACAAACCGGGAACATTTACCACAGCATCAAATGAGCAGCAGGACTTTGGCCACAAATCGAGGCTGAATGATACACTCGGGGTCATCTGATCCATCTGGAGAAGAGTTTTTGTACACAGGTAAGTGTTAATGTGTTTCTGAGAAAGCACCCTGACATGATGAATTAAAAAAGGGGGGGGGACATTGTGAACATTTGTGATGCATTCAATTGTAACCTGCAAATTTAGCATGTGATGCACCGATGTTCCCTGTTGCTACGACATTTAAATAGTGAATGTTTATAGTTTCTCAAAGAGGTGTTTGTTCTGAACTGGAACTGAACAGGGAATGCAATAAAACTTTAATGTATTCAGTGCAAGATAATCACGTGGGTAGGATGTACACAGTGCAGAAGAAGAACATCAGTTACATCTTATTTTTATTTTTTGCTTTTCTGAGGCAGTACAGAGTTATGAAACATAGAGAAACGAGGGAACAATTTTTTGAACCACCAAGTGAAATAAAGAAGTCATGGAGAATCCGGTTTATATATATATATATATATATATATCCATCCATCCATCCATTTTCTTCCGCTTATCCGGGGTCGGGTCGTGGGGGTAGCAGCCTAAGTAGGGAGGCACAGACTTCCCTCTCCCGAGCCACTTGGGTCAGCTCTTCCGGGGGAATCCCGAGGTGTTCCCAGGCCAGCTGAGAAACATAGTCCCTCCAGCGTGTCCTGGGTCTTCCTCTGGGCCTCCTTCCGGTGGGACGTGTCCGGAACACCTCACCAGGGAGGCGTCCAGAAGGCATCCTAAACAGATGCCCAAGCCACCTCAACTGGCTCCTCTCGACATGGAGAAGCAGCGGCTCTACTCCGAGTCCCTCCCGGATGTATATATACACATCTATATATATATACACATATATACACATATAAATAAATACACATATATACACATATAAATATATACACATATATATACACATATAAATATATACACATATATACACATATATATATATACACATATACACATATATATACACATATATACACATATATATATATATATA